TCCGTATGTATGCTTAGATCTTTAAAACTACGCAACGGATTTTGATGCGGTTTTTTTTAATAGATAGAGTGATTCTTAAGGAAGGTTTGTATGTATAATACATGCATATTGCACCCGTGTGAAGCCGGGGCGGGTCGCTAGTTGATTACAAATTGGAAAGTGAGTTTGTTTGTTCCGCTTTCACGCCGTAACTACTAAACCGATTGCTTTGAATTTCTGCAGACGTAAAGTTAGAAGTCTGGATTAAATAATAGGGTGCTTTTTATCCCGGAAAAATTTGATATTCCTGAGGGAAAACAAAAGTATTGGTATAGATGGCGCTGTGTGTATTGGTATATGTCACATAGGCTACTTTTTATCCTTATGTGACGCGAGTGAAGTCGCGGGTAAAAGCTAGTACTTAGATAAAATGGCGCTAAGTTTAGGAATGGGATATTGTTACGTCATAACGTGCTCCAAAATGTGGCACACTTGACGTCACACAATATTTCAAATTAATATATCTTCGAAAGTATTTAATTTTATGAGATAAGAAAAAATACGTGTCTACAATTTTAAATAGATTGACTAGACGGACATTAAAATAAAATTTAGGAAACTACCCTATTATAATGAACTGAATAAACCAAAAACTGCTGACCTGAATCGCGCGTGCGTGTGATGTACAGTCGCTGACTTGTACATAAGCCATCAATAAAATTGTAGTATAAATATCACTACTTTTCCACACGGCTAGAGCTAGGCAAATATTGTTTTGTTGTTAAATATTAATACCTACCTATTATTAATACTATCTGCCATCTGGCCTTACGTTGTCTTTTCTACCAAAAGGCGATTTAAGAGATGCGTGGAAATCGACTAGTAATTAGGCACTACAACTTACAGTAAATTCATAAGTACCCAGGAGCTGCATGCACTCATTATGTACATTTGTATAGCTTTCCATTGGAGCACAGCAGGTCTCTTCCATATTCTAAAACAAAGTCTTAATTTACGTTATTATTGTCGGATATAAATGAAAGATTGTACTGCCTCATTGGCCGAGTGGTCGCAAGTGCGACTACCGGGCAAAGGTTCGATTCCCGGGTCGGGCAAATTATTACTGGGTTTGTAAAAACCTCAGTGGTAGCACGGAGTCTGGAAATGTGCCCGGTATATGGCAATAGGCTCACCCCCTATTACATGGGACTCATAACATAAATAGTGAAAAGTGGGCGTTACATTGGCAATAAGTGCCGTAGCGTGCACCTCTGCCCACCCCTTCGGGGATAAAAGGCGTGATGTTATGTTGTACTGCATTTTTTTAGTTGTTGATCCTTTCTAGTACCCATGTAGATATTTTCAACGTTACCCGATATTGCTCAGCCACTGCGCCAACATTTAAACTGAATCAGTAAGTACGAATAAAACCCTTACTTTTTGATGACGAGCAAAGTATCACCTGGTGGTTGAATGGAGGCAGCTGTACCTACTTGTCATACTCTTTGGATTGGAGGCCTAGGAACTTCGCATCCTCACTCTATAGAATCTACATAATGTTTAGCTTACCTCTGGATTAAAAACGTCATCACATGCTGCTATCTGATAATCTTTTAAACATTCACCATTTGCACGATCCTTTAATAAATTAACTAATTATGTATATTAAATGGATAAACTAAAAACAATTACAATGTGCCAAAATTTAAATATCTTACTGTCAGTGTTCCAAACCAGATAATTGTTAAAACAAAAGCAATAGTATAGAAACCCATTGGTACGGTTAAAGGAGATAATACGGAGGAGATAAATATTATAGAAGAAAGATATCTCAAAGCAATTTACAATGAATAAAAATATTGAATTTATTTTTCTTATTCTTAGTCATTAAAACATAATAAATTAAAATCCAAATAAACAAATTGGTCATAAATAAGTAGCTATTTTATTTTATACTTATGATGGCCATGGACTAATATTTATCTGGTCCATGGTGATTACTGGTTTCAATCTAAAAATGTAATAAAACTAGTTAGTTTGTGACAAATAAAACAGAGGCATATTAAAAGAAATAACATTTATTTTGTTCCGACGGCTTCGATCTGATCGCCAAACTCCAAAGTATGAAATCGTTCGTCACCACGAGAAGCGACAAGGCGCCCACACACTTCATCATAAAAATAAAATCGCTCACTCTATAATCCGAAACAGACAATAATTCTATGTCACTCATATTTACATCTATTTACACACAACATTATGAATCACATAAAGACTATCTCAAAACCAGAGATTTATACAGTTTAATGTAACATAATTTCATATCAACTTATCATTTAGTTTGACGACAAACTCATGTTTGGTTTTGTTCCGCAACCGAGGCTGCGTTCAACTATCGCTACGGACTGCTTAACCTAATAGTCAGTATTCTCGAAAACATATCTGCACTGCAAAAGCACATACAGTAAGCGAAAGCAAGATCTCTTACTACAATAAATTGTGAAAAAATCAATTGGTATTACATAGGAATCTCATTGTCTCCTTCACAAGAATCAATGTATTGTGTCATTTAGATATTGGCTAATAAATCTTATTTAATCACCAATCTATATCATAATTAGGTAATAAAATATTATAATTATTTTGTGAGAAAGCTAGCTAATTTCTCAGACTGAAATCTAAAAGGGAGTAGCCCTTGAACACTTGAAGTAACTTACTCGATATTAAACAACTACTTAAAAAGATTTTATTGGTACACGAGAGGGTACCCTAATCAACTACTTTGATAAATGAAGTAAAGAATGAAAAAGAAATTTGAAAAGAAGTTTTAAAATGTATTATGATTACTAGAATTCAGTCTACAAAATAAGCAAAGCTTACAAATTTCATGATAGTGAGGAGAACATCTCGACATTTGAAATCGAAAAATTGAACTAACTAGACATTAGTAAAGTGTGATCTTATCGAGCAAACACACCAGCAAACAACTGTTCATAATATTTAATAAAATCTATTTTATAATACTGTGTACTTAAACCGTTGCAGTTCATTATTCGAGTTGCGTTCGCGTATTGTCCAGCAAAACTCCAGAGATCATAGTATAAACATAAATACTTTCTCTTGCATTTGTCCCGTGAACATTTAATAAAAATCATGTCTAAGAACAGAATCACGTAATTTACAATACAGTATATGCTAAAGAGGTGTTTCTTAAAACAAAGTATAAACTATATGGACTTACACTATATTTACAGTATAGTTTAGTTTTTATTTTCTATGCAGTACATGTTTCACATACTATCATTCTCGACTCGACATCTCTTTATTCCTTGTCCCACAAAATCATTTACTATCAGTGAGTAATTAGTAATTATCATTGTCATTATTTAAAAAATCAGTGTTAATAAATTAAATAGCGGTTATGTTCACTATTGCATATCAGTCCATGAGGTGAGAATCTATAAAAATCACTTTCTGTGTTAGTGAGTTTCAAAATCTGGTGTACATCAGTAAAAGGACTGATCAATCAACACTAGTTCAGTGTAACGCTGTTGAAGTCACTTAAAACTAGAGCTAGCACTGTTTGTCACTATCTGTTTAACAAGTCTGCGCAGGTATATTGTTTCTATCGTGTATGTTCATGTTAGAGGCATCCCAAACGCTAGGTATTCGGCCGGGTCGCGGCCTTCCTGCGCTAATCGATCTCTTCCGGAGGGCGATTATAAACAGGTCCAAACTTGGCCATATACTTCCTCACGAACATCTTCGCTTTTGAGCGCACCGAGTCAGTCACTACTAGTTCGTCGACTGACCGACAATGCTTCAGCTCTTTAAGCATTACGAAGTGTGTGAGCTGTAAAGAAAACATATCATTAAAGTTTTAAAACTAAAGTCAACACCATATTCATCAATCAATAAAAATCTTCACTATTTACTCAAATTTAACTGATTAATAGAAACGTTCTTAATAGTAGCACTCACCTTTCTAGCTAAATGTTTGAAGTCGGCCGTGCACGTGATGCGCGCGGCCGGCGCGTCAGGGTGTCTGTATGGGTTGAGGTGCTGCACCATAACCCGCGCCATGCTGCAGCGGAACTGCTCCTTAATCTTGCGAGCTGTCTCTTCAGTGCTCATGGTGGTCGTGCCTTCCGAGGCGGGCGGGGATTGTGGCGGCGCTACAACTGGAGACGGGGACGCCTCCAACATAACTGGTTTCTCCATTGGGGTTTCTTGTACTGGCGCTGGAGTCGATTCTTCGGTCGACGAGTCTTCAGAATCACTATCGGAGTCCACTAATTCCACCATTTGCTGTTTGTACAAAATAAGTGTGTTAATATTATGCCATTAGGTTTTATTTTTTATGAAAATGGAATACTATAAAGCTTACATGTTATCAATATATAATGTGTTTGTTGAAGTACATTTTAAAACCATTGCAGGCATACAAAATAAAAATGATATCTGACTACAGCTGTAAAATGAGTCATAATAATTGTACACACATAAATTACGCTAACGAGTGAGACCAATTAAAATCAACCTTTAGGTGAACTAAGGATGACGATCGACAGCATGAGGTAAGTTAGGCAGTCGTATCGTATACTATTTGTATAATACATTATGATCTACAATGCTAAATTTAAGGGTCCCTTCGCATTTAGGTCATTTGACACAGATGCATTTGCGCATCACAAGGCGTATGTAGGGACAAGCATAATGCGAGGACACTCTTATCGCCGACATCGACCGATACCTTTATTTCAGGCTCATGTTTCTTCACATGTTCTTTCTTCTCAATGTCTATGGTCTCAATCTCCATTTTCTTCGACATTTCTTTCTCAACCACTCTCTCTTTTTCACTCTCTAATTCTTTTTCCATATATTTGTCCTTCTCTTTATCCTTTTTGGTTAGCATTAACAATAAAATGTGAAGGATGAATCAAGCAAGAGCATAAGTTTACATAATATGTAACAGATATCAGATTAATCCTAGTCCTAGCACATCTTTACTACTGGTGCAATACTGTTCATCAACACAATCAGATATTGATAAAAGACTCAATTAAGTACAAACTATAATACAGATGGTTAGAAAAACGCACGTAAAACCTTCATGGAATATTCTAAACATACCTTCAAGTCCATCACGCTGCCTTTGAATCTGCGTTGCGATTTGTTCGCGGCGAGCAATCGCACCTTCTGTAGAATTTTCTCCCGGCGCCTTCGTAGTTTTTCTTTTGTCTGCTTATACCGCTTCACTTCAAGCCTTCCTGCTAGTTTGTCTTCTTCTGTCCTCGGCTGCAAAATGACAGAGGAAATTAAAGAGAGGGTATAACATAGGGATATGAAACTGGCTGAAAACTCCTAGGCGAAGTTTCGCCTGCTGATATAAAAAAATAATAATAAATTATGAAACTCCGATTTCTATTTGATTATATAAATTTAAAACGTCAGTTTGACTTATTTAGTTTTATAATCTTATGTACTTACACTGATAGGTCTTTCGGATACTAGTCCAGGTCTTCGTTTCCTTGGTTTGAGGCTGACTAGCGCGTGGTCAGGAATCAGGCCGTTGTGACTATCCTCTTTAATAACTGGAACCATATAGAGACACAAATTATAACACATTGTTATTTAAAATGGGACTATTCTAATGTTATTCTAACATGAATAAATAATTAAAATGTATGGCAAGATGAATCTTGATAGAAGCAGAGCTGCAACTATTCTTTGAGATCTTCTTCAGGCATTTTAAAACAAGAACTGTGGACATTTAAGCACATAAATATCAATAAATACAATGAAATGATTGTGTGATGTGTCCGTCTCAGAATGAATATAAAATAAACTTATAAATACATACAGTCGGTCTCCCCACCTTCGTAAATGCCATTGACTCCTTCCACGACCTTCCCTTTGGTCTGTCGTCGCACGAGGGGACTGTCCAGGCCTGAAGACGGTAGCTCATCTTCCTCCTCTGACGAACTCTCTTCTGTAGAATTACATATTATATGTCATGAATTGAATGAAGATGGTTGATGGTTGGCGAATTCACAGTAGATAATGAAATAGAAATACATTGGTAACTACTATGTACAACAATAAATAAGTGCTGAAAAGTAAATAAGCACGGAAGGTTTTTAACCAAATTCAAAGCAGGTACTCTGTTTGACCTGTGTGTTTGTTTGTATGTTTGTGCGCGATTATCTTGCAATTGGCTGCGCTGATTTTGATGCAGTGTCCAGAAAAGTGTTTGTTACACTTTTTTTTTAAGGGGGGAAAATCATCGAATGACTGCTCCCGCCTGGGTGAGGCGGGAGGGAGTGTCAGACTCTTACTGACTAAAAACCACCCCGTTCCTTCTCCTGCACGTCGAGCCGGAGCCCCGGTAACCCGTTAGGTTCTCCGCGACGTTTGTTACTTAGAAGAAAGTTGTAGTATATTAATTGTTTCAAAAAGGAGTTGAAGTCTGCTTTTTGAAATGTAGTATGAATATAAGAAAGATATTGCTCATCGGGAATATGTTGTTATAATATTCTACATACCAGGTTCGGTGGGCAGTGGCGGAGGTATCCATTGCGGCTGTCGCAACTTGACGTGGTAGTAGTACGTGCGGCCGCGGGAGTCTGTGGCACTGCGCCATAGAGAAGGAAGTACTATGTCCTTGAGGTCTTCCGGTGGAGCTGAAGCTGCTACGGCCTAATATGGAAAAAGATACATTGTTAACCTAACTTAGACGTCTTTCAATATGAATAATGAAAAGCTCAGTTACACTTTTATCTAATCAAAAAATTTAAGGCGGAGTGTACAAGTCAATTTTACTGAAACGATAATGCTAAGGGATTCGATTCTTATACTAAAAACACACACAAAGAGCAAAAACACCGCCCCAATACATTATGTTTATTTATTGCTTTGCTGTCAGAAAGATTGCTCATGCGCTTCACGCCTGAATAATTCAATGACTTTATAAAAAGGTTTTATATTTTGGAAAATAGCATAAAGGCTAGTTGTTATACAATGTACTCACAGGTTGTTGTTGTGGTTGATCAGGTTGTGTTTGTACTTGAGGGAAGGGAGGTTGTCCGGCCGGGCCCACCTGTTGCCCAAACATAAACCCACCCATGGGGAACCCAGGCATGCCCATCATACTGTGGAAAACATCAATTATTTTTACTTACATTTCATTGGTAATTTATAATACTAGTACTACTAAACATAATTATGTATTGTTAAATACATGCAGCATGCTTAGTCTTCTGTCTTATCAACCTATAGACATAATCACGGCAATCTGATATCATTATGTCTGCTCAGTATCTAATTGACTATATTAACAATGACATAATACTTCGTTTTTATTCCATGACTTTTTGAAGTTAAATACTCACTTGGCTTGTGGCATACAGAAAGGCGGGCAGAAGGGTGCAGGAGGAAATTCATGAGACATCCAGTCCGCGGGCATGTCGGGTACTAAGCCAGGCACTCCACATACCATGCCACCCATGTTGCCCATGTTGTTCATGTTATTCATGTTACCCATGTTACTCATCATGTTGGGCCCACCGGGAACCATACCACCAGGGAACATTTGCTGTAAACAAGATGTTCAATTTTTATGGAAAGTTCTCTTTAATTTTGAGTCCACAAAATACTTGTGTGTTTACCTAATATATGGCGTAAAGTTAACAGTTTTTTTTTTAAGGGGGAAAATCATCGAAAGGCTTCTCCTGCCTGGGTGAGGCGGAGGGACTTACTGACTAAAACCCACCCCGTTCCTACACCTGCCTTTCGAGCCGGAGCTCCGGCAACCCGTTAAGTCCTCCGCGGCTCCGTATCGGCATCAGCCCTACCGGGCCCCATCCGTGGCGGTCTGATGGCTCTTTGAGGCGCCGCGGAACGCTCGGCGCCGTACGCTCGGGTTTGATTCTGGTCGGACGGCGAGCCACCCATGCTCGCCGGCCGCAGGCCCGTGCTTACGGTAAAGTTACACGCTACATGTGTGTAAAATTCAGTACTTTAATTTTTGAAAGTTACCTGTTGGAAAGCATCAGCCTGTGGCCAGTAAGCGGGCCATCCAGTATGTTGCATCCGTTCTCGTTGCCTCCTGGACTCGTCCGCGGCGGCGGCCGCCTCTGCGAAGGCACGACGTCGTTCCTCCTTCGTCATCGGTGGCACTGCGGCCAGTACACGGTCACTTAGCCTGGGGACATGAATATCAACTCTTAGAACACGTCATGTAAAGTTCTAGGTACCGAGAGTGCTCATACGCTTAGTGAATGCTTCAAAGTCATAAATTAATACTGCTTGCGCAGATGATAAATAAGCTATGAAGTATAAGAAAATTAAAACCAAGTCTAACCTGATACTCCGTCTACCCTCCGGACTGCTCCTTCGTTTCCTCCTGTCTCTGTCATCTCTATCTCTATCCCTGTCCCGGTCTCTATCGCGATCTCTGTATCTATCACGGTCTCTTTCGCCACGATCCCTCTCCCCACGTTCACGGTCACTTCGTTCCCTGTCCCTGTCTCGTTCTCTATCTCTGTCTCTCTCTTTTTCCCTCTCCCGCTCCCTCTCCTCCCTGCGATCTCTGTCGCGGTCCTCCCTACGATCACGGTCTCTGTCGCGCGATCCGCTCGAATCAGCCGCTCGCCTCTCAACGTTGGCTTGTCTTTCGTGCTCTTTCATCTGTTGTATTCGTTCTTTTTTCGGAATTTTGAATACTTCCTACAAATAGAAAACATGTTCATCACAGTGTCTGTTAACAGTCAAAGACTCGTGTCCGGTGTCACGTTGATGAAATACTTTAAACGTACCTTTAAACTAGACCATCTTTCCAACAGTTGACTTGACAGATCCTTAATCTTCTCCAGTATGGCTGCATTGTCTTTCGCCTTTTCTGGACTTGAGAGATTCTCTTGGCTATTTCTGTTTGGTAGTTCTACAGGTAAACCTATAAAAATGACAACACAATGTTAAAGAAACCATAATATAACCTTGATTATACAAAAGACAATTTAGTTTTGTATTAAAGAAGTTTCTTGCAGATTCTCAACTTTCAGGCTGAAAGTATAATAACATGAGTAACAGTATGAACATACCAGTAGCCTCATCAATGAACACATTGTCGGGCGGTGGCTGCGGCGCCTCGGCCGCGCTCAGCCATCGCTCCACGATGGTGAAGAAACGACTCTCTTGAACCATCGTCTTGTTGGGGATTGGTAGTCGGTCCACTGTCTGCAGCATTTCCAGCCTAGAAAATAAAAATTACATTTTTAAAGTTTTAGTTTATATTAAAGTCTGCATTTGTATCGATATCTGTCGTTAACTGCTTCAGCTCAGTGTCTTTGAAATGCCCTATTAACTTTCACGGTCAGTGCCCTCAAGTCGGCAGTATCGTATTCCGTCGTGGTGATACCCGTGGCGGTCAGTAGGTTAATACTTAGGAATGAGTGCTTCTCGTAACATATTACCATCTACTAGAATAAGACCTTGAAACACCTTTTATTTTACGGGTTGAAACTTTATTACTTACACTCATGATCCAGCATCAGAACCACCATTATTTGTTTATAGTTGACGATAACAACGCTAGTCACATGCCTTAAAATATTCTACTACTTACTTGAAATCAAGTGGAGCATCACTGCACCAAGGCGCCAGCAATCTAAGACCTCTGTAGTCAAGGAAAAGTCTTCTACATGGGAGGTCAGCGTCGCGCAGTAGTCGCAGTAAAGCAGTTTGTGCTCGCCGTGTCTTAGCTCGGACCACGGTACGCGAGAGCCGAAGTGTATGACTTTGGTTCTTCACGCCGGTACGGCCCAAGGCTTCCAGATCTTCTTCAATCTAAATTAATAAACAGAGAAGAATAAAAAAGTGAACAGAAAGTCATTATAATTGAATTATTTGGTCAAAATCCGACATTTTGTATAATTTTATTTTCTGTAAACTTAAACCAGTGATGCACTCATTTTTTAATTTATTACACTATCGAAAAAAGAAAATTATGATTACAAGATAATTATAATAAGAAATACAAATAAATAAATATGATATCTTACGTCAGCATCCTGCACCAAGTCAGGAGCTTTAGGTTTGTAGGTGCGGTCCTTCTTGGGGCGTCGAACTTTCGGTCGCGGCTGCTCTGTAGGTGTAGCGTGGGACTCCTCCGAAGACTCCGTTGTACCAGACTTTGAGGTAGACACATCTTCGTCCTCCTGAGGTCATTGTAAAAATTTAGTAATTATGTCTACCTGGATTTACTGAATAATACGTCCTTTTTCTATTTATTTATTTTATACAAATACAAGCATGATCTGGTTGGAACAGATAACATAAAACTGTGGTACATGCAATTTTCTTATTTGATATGAATTTTTTTTACTGTTATCATGCATTAAAAGTTTAGTTAATTAATTGTTTTAAAATAAAAGATGATAGATTGATGAATGGAAGAAAATCGAGACTGAGGAAAACAGAATGAAGAATAGTAATCAAAACCATTTCCTTTTTCTCTTCAAATAGTCATCATCTTCACGTTCCCATGTTTCTAGATATACAAAAAAGGTTGTATACCATTGAAACAGCCAGGATTAGTCACACTCTTGTCATGCGAGAAATAATAAAATGTGCTTATATACCGTTATGCGTCGTACCTCGTCATCTTCATCGTCAGAGTCAGGCTCGCCCCCGATCCAGCCGCGGCAGTTGTCGGCGCCGCAGTAACAGCGCTGCGCCACCTTTCTGCACGTAAATAACACATCTCTGTTACCCACCAATCACCAATACACCCGCTGGAACCGATAATCCATTTTGTCAGATATGAACAATATAATTATTTTAATTGTAGGATGACGAATTGTAGAGTTGTATTATTTTATGATTTATTACATTACATTACACATAGATTACAACAATTAAAAAGAACATACAAAAATGTTCTTTATGGATCATTTTTTTAATAACACAAATGCTATTCAGTCCTGTACGTATGACTTACTATTAACATAATTATTATGTTTTATTTATTTTTATACATATAAATTCCAAGGTCGCTACATATCTGTGAGGCATACCACACTTCATGTTGAATTAATTCAATAAAAGTCTGTATCTATCAGTTCAGTTTTAAGTACCTGTGATGTGTCAATATCAACTTACAGTCTATGTAGTACACACATACACCCAGATTTATTTACCATAATATGAGTAAATAGAAACCAAAGATATACCTCACATTGACCTTGATAGTAAACTATTTGAAATGCGCTATTAGCATAGGTATAGCAACTTCTATAAGTAATGTAAGAAAGAACTACTTACCCAAACCTCTGGAACTGATAATCAAACGTAAGTTCTTCCCCAGCAACAATGTCCCTCTTACTGAAGAATCCAATCCGAAGCTCTCCATTGACAGTCCACTTCTGTGTCTCAGCATTAGGGTCACAAGAGTGGTTGATGAAACGTGATATGTTGCCCTTGAGTGTCGCGTCAATGACCGTGTCGCCCTTCAGCGACATGAAATAGTGATGCAGGTTGTTGTCAGCCGAATATGCCTGAGCCCGCTTGTAGAACTGCTCGTAATCAAGCACTTCGCCCACATATTCGAGAAGAAATTCACCCCTAGAAGATTAGTTTAACAATTAATATAACAATATAACTGTTTGTAACAATAAATGTTTCAAATGTCGATATTCTATCATTCAACATCATCATGTTTCATTGTATTAAGATAACCTTGATATATTGTGAGTAGCAATAAAATTAATAACTGCATAGTAGAAATGTAATCTATGAAATATTAGGAACTATCTTTATAAACAATCCAACAATCTTTATAACAAATGCTCATGATTCAAAATTCGCAAGGCATTGTACTAAATAATTTAATTAGCTGCTCGGTTACTACAAAGACTACTAGCTACTAGTGTTTAATTTCTAAGTTCCAGTAGGAATTTTCGCAATTGCGGTATTTACTTACGCTGGGATATCAACAATAGCCTCCACACCACAACCCTTTTTGTCTGCATAGAAAACCTTAAGAGGTGCATTTTCCTTAGACTGGAACCTTCTGTTAGTACATCTATCACCTACTGGACATCGGGAATTACTGGAATTTACGAACATAAGACATTTAAATAAAATCTTTGAATAAAACATCTGACATACCAAGTATTAACTTTAACACATTAATTACCATTCAATCATAAGCAGTCTATTGAGGCAGTCCTCTCCACAAGCTAGTTCCCCTCTCTCCAATTCTTCTTTGGTCATAAAACAGTCACAAGTCATCTTCTTTGTCTCCTTACTAATCATTCTCTCACATAAATACTCATTTTCATCTAAATGTTGATACTGGTTCATTCGCTCTTCAATTATTCTATCATAATCTTCTTTAGTTAAAGGAGGTGCATGTTGTTCTTCTTCTGGTAAGCTAGGACATTCAGCCACTGGAGGTAACCTCTGTGGCAGACTGGGGCTTGCCAAAGGTGAGTTAGCAGGGGAGCCAGCACCCATCTCTAACTCACTAGACCGACGCCACCGAGACTTCACCTTCACAGGCATCTCAGAAGGCACAGGAAATGAAGGTGAATTAGGTGTAGTACCTGGCAAAGACTCACTAGATTTTTCCTGACTGTCAGATCCAATTTCTTCGAGTTTCAGCTTTGTCTGTGTTATCAAAGCCTTCTTTAATGGTGTTTTTACTAATCCATAGCCTTTTGTTTTCTGTTTTAAATTGCTTATTGTCTTAATGCGACTGGATCTCCTAACACCCGTAGGAGAAGATTCTGCTGAATCATTTGAGTTATTCTGGTTTGGTTCTGCCACCCTAGATGAGTTACTATCATCTGAGAGTGTAGAACTTGGTGTGAGACTAGGATCTGGTCTCATTAGAACTTCATTTAAACCTTCTTTAAATTGTATGTCAGGAGTTAAACATGGTGAGGATGAGATCTCAATCACTTCTGAACATTCCATAGGAATGTTTGAATCTGATGTTGTAATATTTAACTTTTCAAAATGTTCTTGGAAATCATTGTTTTGTGAATTGTCCTTACTCTCTTCATTATCAATGTGTTCAGTTATATGCTCTTGTGGACTATCAATCTTGATGTTGTAATAAAGCTCTGGGTGGTCATCTTCAACTATCTGAACAATTGTAATGACTTCATCATCATCCCCTGTAAATTCTATTTGTTCTTCTTCCAATGGAATGTCTTCAACCTGAACTTCTTCTATCTTTGATTCCTTGTGGGACTCATCTATAACATGGTGACTCTCATTAATACTAGGAGTGGAGTCAGTTTCAATCAAATCAATAGTACTTAACTCCATACACTTCTCATTTGCTTCATCTTTGTTCAATAGTGGTGTTTCACAATTCGATGGTAATTCAGTCAGTGCAGGTACAGGTGATATGTCTCTAGAATTGCTCTGTGTTATTATTGTACTATTCAAAGGACTCAAATTTGCCCCACTATTAGTATCAGACTGTGTATCTAAAGCAGCATTAGAATCTGACTCGGAGCTTGCACAAGGATCAACAACTCTTATTTCTACACTACTATTTGTTTCACTGTCACTGCCAATATCATATTTTCTAGTAAATGTCTCATCATTATTGAATAAACATCGATATTTACCGAATTTCTTATGCAATGCTACGATTGGTACTTGACAAGGTTTAGTAATGGCATTGCCTGAAGATTCTGATGTTTCTGGAGCCTCTGGAGCCTGTGACTCGGGAGCAGTGGGTGCATCGGTAGGTATTGACTCTGTTGCTTGGCTGGTTTCAGAGGTGGTCGCCTCGATTGAGCCAGAAGCTTCACCGTCAGCAGCCGACGCTGCTTCGGCCTGCTGCTTGGCGCTTCGAGTTGTACGACGCGTCGCCACGGTTTTTGCTGCTGCCTTCTTTCTTTTCGCCATTGTACTGTTTTAACGCAGCAACATACAACCTAAAAATGTAATTGTTTTAGATCACAGATAGAATACAGTCAAGCATAGTGACCTCTTTCATTCGTTGTTGTTTCTCATTACTGTCAATGCCACATGGTTATAACAAAAATTAAAAGATTTGATTTGCGGTTATGAATCAGGTAAACAATGTCCACTATTATTTTTACATGTTAGGTGGTCTGTTTTGAAACACTTGTGATTTCATGCAAGGAAGCCACCGGTTGGTATTGATGGTATAGCAACAACATTTCAAGATACAATTTGACTACATACCATTACTTTTTGGATGTAATTGTATTTCTTGTATTTACTGAAATACTATTAAATGTACAAAACTACTAGACTCTCTCACAAATTAAATGAAACATTAGTAACAAGCAAATTTCATTTTTCACATTTTAGTTCATTGCTTTTTTTTGTTGAGTACTACCATAGACAAGCAACTTAAAATGAACAACGACCAAAGACAACAAAATTAGATAAAATGTAAAAATATTACTATGGTCTTTTGCATTCAAGGCATAGATTTATCAATATAACATAGATGTCTGGCTAATGTCTACGGGTAGAATTTAGGATCCATCTTGACGGTATATTCATAAACATACTGTTGTTTCTTTTTTACTTATGTCTCTTTGCTTATGCAGAAAGAGACAACACATTATTGTCATTCTGGCCATAATTTTTTGACGTCATCAGAAAAACCTAGTTGTGCCGAATTGGCCATCTTAGTCCCTGTTATCAGTGCATGTCAGTGGTACATCAGCTGTCAAAGCATTGGTCAACAATATTTTGTTACGAAAATTTGTAGAATTCCTGTTGTTTTTGTGCGTGGTAAACAAAGAAATTATTGGTTAGTGAGAAGAACTATGCCCGGGTGCAGTGTTATTGGATGTAGCACTAAAAATATTACTAAACCGGCAGGTGTAACATTACATCGGTAAGTACTGTTATTTTTCATTAAAATATCTCTGTTTTTCAAACTATTCAAGTGTGGTTGCTGCAAATTGACTAAATACAATACTTTTCTAACTAATGCAGTGCTTATTTTCATTAATTTTAGTTGAAATACGTCTAAAACAATTTTCATTAAAAAATAGTGATGTACATGATTGTTCCCGTATCGATAATTTTATCGTACATAATAAATGCGTCAAAAGTAGAACAAAGAACTATACTAAATTCTGAATGATAAAGTGCATTAATTTGACATAATGACAAAATACAAAAAACATTAAGTACTCGTCAAAAATTTCATTTTATCGACAAAATTCCACCATCGTCAATACCTACGTAATGTAATAAATAATTAATACAATAGAGAATAATTTTTGTACAATATGAGATAAGGAATAATATTGTGGGAAATGCATTTTTGTCAAAATTGATTTTTTTATCAAATGCCGCTCGACGGATTCAAATGAAACAAACCAATGAAATATAACTTTAGGGTATTTTTAGAGTATTTATTAGAATGTGTCGAACTCTGCCGATAATTTTAATAATATTATAAATTTTCTTTTTAGTTTGTGCTTGAACCACGCAGAAGTTCTTGGCTGGAAATAATTAATGTGGGAAATATAGATACTAGAAGGAAACATATCTTTGTTTGTTAACTTTATTTTGAAGATTAATGTTTTAACCGAACAATAAATTAATAGTAAATCTACGTGATGGGGCCCTATCGCTACAAGCTCTATTGGTAAATCATAATGTAAACGATTCATTATGTGTTTTGTTATATTAGTTTTGGAAGCATTTTTTGAAGAGGTGCAAACTTAACATTTTATTTAACATTTATATTAAGTTCATAACTAACCGGGTTCTTGTACCTATATGTTTCTGTTTTCCTCCGCTATCTATCACTATCATTGTAATGTACAAACATTTTCGTTCAGAGCTTAGTACAGTACCTATAGAATCTATAGAAAAATCTATGTTCAATTGGATCAAGTAAGTTAAATTATACTATTTATGTTGCAGCCTCTAGCCAGATATGTGCATGAAAATGAACTTGGAACCAGTTCTGGAGTCTTCTCGAAAGATGGTTTTGCAGATTACATTACAGGGAAACACTACGAAAAATACGAAGATATTGTATATTATAAATCTTGATTTTATGAATACTTTGATACAGTTTTATTTTTCAACCCTCAAAAATTACTTAACCTTAAGTATATAAATATTGACCAGTTGATGGAAAATCCTTTTCATGAATTTCGATACATAAGTATCGTGAAAGTTATGATGTGAATGTATAGGCACGATCGACTGGAGTGACAGTGCTCGCAGCAACTACTAAATATATTTCGCTAATATGTTGGTAATGTTTAGCAGCTACATAAAAATTAAATCCAGATGAATCATAAAATAATGATATTTTATTGATAAGTCAATTGAAACCAATTCTAAAATATCGATATTTCTACAGTTTTAAAAGTTACATCCCTAGTTCTATCCGCCATTACAGGTGACCAAGTGAAGTTTATGTAGGCACGATTTTTCCTAGTTGTTTCTTATCCATACTCTTATCATATCAGTGATTCAAGGGAATATTGCCAATCAGAGCTTCTTTATTACATTATTTATAGTCCGAAGTCGTATACCGTTCTAAATTAAGCGGAAAGTAAAGAATATATTATCTAAAAAATATAAAAGAACTTAGAAGTAACTGAAGTAACTGTTAGGGCAAGACAAACAAAGGTCCAGAAAATAAAAAAAAAACTTAGAAATGGCACTTCGTACTAACAAAAGGTATTGTGATTTATAGGTAAAATGTATTATTCGTTAGCATTAGCTTAGTATTAGTACCAGTTTAAGACCTAGAAGACAAGTCGAATGAATCTATGAATAAATAAATAAATATTGCGAAATACGAACGCGACGAGATGACGTAGTGACGTTTCAATATCTCATGTCATACACGTCAAACGCGTCAAGAAAAATAACCAAAGGGCCGAACGAAAGGAAAAGCTCGCAGAAAAGTGTTAATTCAATAAAAACTTAATTTTAAGATTATAATTATAGTCCAGTTAATAAAATTATAAAATGGCTGAAACTCCAGAGGTGGGTTTAGGTTCTCTTCATTCATATTTCCTCGTATGCTAACATACGAAAAGACACGTCACGTTTATATGTTTTTGAAATGTAAAAGTTTCAGGCGGTATCTTAGTTTTTCTGTAATTTAGTGCTCGAATACAAATATTATGCCATTTATGTAAGTGTAAGTGTAGATAATGTATTTCTATTCATTTATGGTAACAATAGACTTTTAATGTTCATTCCAGACCGTGAAAATCAATAAGTGGGATGGAGCTGCCGCTAAGAATGCTATTGATGATGCTATTAGAGAGGTATAATAAGATTTGAGTTATTATTCTATCTGTATTTCAGATCCGGTCTTACATTTGTATTTATGTAGGTAGGTCAAACTTGTATATAATGCAACGTGTTTGGGTCATATAATAAAATATTACTAGATTTAGTTGAATTACAGAATGAGAGTTAGTTGAATAACTACTGTTAAAAGATAGCTCAAGATAGGTCAGAAATACCAAGGTTTAAGTACCTATAGTCAGATACTTGTCTTACAAAATTATTAAACTGGTTGTAAGTCTCAACCTCTACTCAAAATAAAAGTACAAGATGTCTCAATCAGATTTATTATTGCACTAGTGACCCGCCCCGACTTTGCACAGGTGCAATATGCATGTATTATATTGATCAATGATTTTCCCCCATTAAAAAAAAATCTGTATAAGTATTTCAAACTCCCTTATCTTGCAGGTGCTGACAGGAGATCTGAAATGTAAAGAAAGTTTTGCTCTAATTGATGGGCGGCTGTTTCTCTGTGCATTAGCTGTTGGAGTGGCTCTATATGCATTGCTTTGGGATTACCTGTACCCATTCCCACAGTCAAGGTGTGTACGATATGATTTATAGTTTTTAGTATTTTTGTTATTACCTTACATTAAACTGTCAAACACCAAGCTGTCACCGGTGACCGCAACCTATTGTTCTATAATTGTGTCTACAAAGACGGTACTAGACAAGTTAAATTAAGTACCCTACATTAAAAATTAATCAAAAAGTTTGTTTGAGTTTGGCTAACATTTTTATGCTAATGAGTTCACTATTCAAACTATGTCCACAATATTTTTAATTTCCTTTGCAATGAATAGTAAAATTAAGTGGCAATACATATTCAATAACAATAATTGTACACACACATGTATATTTATACCAATGTAAGGAAATGTATTGTATCAATATGTATATCAAATAGAACCTAGAAATACTACCAGGGAAAATGTGGCATGTTTTGGACTGGTTTGAGCAGTATGTTATTATAAACAATCTCATTTGAAAATTTTTTTGCAATCTTTGGTCAAACCTTTTTTGGTTTTATGACCTGGAAGTTCTCCTAAACAAGAAAGAAAAATATTAATTCAATAATATGTATTTACATAAATAATATTTGTTTTTTTTTTTCATTACAGACTGGTCCTCATAATCTGTGTCTCTTCGTACTTCATCTTAATGGGCATTCTCACACTCTACACAACATTCAAGGAGAAGGGAGTCTTTGTAGTGGCCAAGGAAAAGTCTGGCAACATTAACAGGGTCTGGGAAGCTAGCTCTTATGTTAAGAAGTAAGTTGGTAAACAATAATCAACTTTAAACTTTAGGAAATATAGTTTTAATTAGTTTGGTTATTGTGTCCTTGGAATGTCATTTTGGGACGTATTTTTCTAACACCAGATAAATTTTACCTGAGGAGTAACTTTGAATATTTGACAATTATTTCATACTAACTTCTGCCCGCGACTTCGTCAGCGCAATCCCGTCTTCAGTTACTGTAGGATATTCAGGATTTTTTTTCTGTATAAAGAACCTTCTGACAATAACAAACACAACAAAAATAGAACTGCCAAATCGGTCTAGCCGTTCTTAAGTTATGGTGTGACAATGGGTTTCATTTTTATATATGAATATAGACTATAAACTTTAATGTCAATTTTATTCTATAGTTAAAAATTAACTGATGATTGAAAAATCGGCTACTAGTCTCTATAAATATTAAATAGACTGGAATTAGTCTTTAAAAACGAAACTATGACTTTAGTTACACTTTCTGGAGTCTGCAACTAATAACTTGTTATAGTATAACTCAATAACATGTGGTCTCTCCTTGGCGACATTTTATACGATATAGGTGTATTATTTACAAGTAATGCTTCAGTTACTTTGAGAGCATACATATTTATTTAAGGCATTTACGCCACATAGGTGATTTTACGGATGAGCCCTTGTTAATCCTTACAACATAAAACCAATTATGACATTAGTAAAATTAATCTTGTTCAACAGACATGATGACAAGTACAACCTGGTCCTAGTGATGCGCGACTCCTCCGGCAAGTCCCGTGAAGCCTCCATTACCAAGTCGTTCGCCAACTTCATTGATACCAACGGAACCATCGTCCAGAACCTCGTTGTCAACGAGATCACCAAACTTTACAACTCCCTCTCCTCTGAAAAGAAGGAGAAGTGATCGCTCTCTCGCACAAACTAGATAAGGTCTGACATTATTGTAACATTATTACTCGTAATAAACAAATGTCTTATTTAAATGTTGTTTCATATTATATTATTTTAGTTTCCCTAGGTTATTGTGTTTCCTGTTGAGTGGGAGTTTTAGTTCATTTAATTGTTATTTCAGGACAAACCATGGATGACCCCATGTCATGTCATCAGGTATGTTATCACTGATGTCTGAAATAGGAATTGTAATGTTATGGTACTCTTAGGTAGTAGTAAAGTTGTGGTAGTAATGTAGAACTCGTTCTGTAGTGTTGTCTGCAGTAACTAGATGTCGCTGGTGTTTTAAATAAGGCATACTCTTTCATCGTTGTTACCATTGATACATTAAATATACAGGTATAAAATATAGCTCTTTACGTGTATTAGTTACAACTGAAATCAAGTGCTTTACTTACGGTACGAATCACTAATGTGAGTACGAGTTAGTTCTGTAATATCACGGCAGATGTCGCTATTTCGCAAAATTCTACTAAAATATGTAGAGCGCATCCAACCGCGGAATTTTCACAAGCTATTTTATGTGAACCACATAGAGTTCCTAATCAAACGAATTTTGTCGTAGCGTCCTCATGGTGGGCACTTTTCATTTTGGTGGCATTTTCCTCATATTCGGCGTGAAGTTGTGTTGTTGGTGTTCAATGTCAGATGAACAATGACTCACGCTTGACGGCATGGAGCGAGATCGAATGCGCTACAGTCAGTCAGTAGGTCGGTCGGAACCGCTGGTACGTCGTGGGTGCCATTCACTCACGATTAGCTAATATGTACTAGAATTAAGTAACGCAATAGTGGAAATAGTTTTAAAATAAAAAGCTGAATTAAATAGTGATGTGAAACTGAAACAATAAGTGCAATTATCGCTCAAATTTTTATACTTTAATTATACAAATAATTTAAAACGCCTTGCAAACTAAATTCACCTAAAATAGATTACATGTTTTCATCGTAGTTTTCCTTGGAATTAAATTATTTAAGGTAAGCCGCAAGTATTATGACATAAACCAGGTATTTCCCTGTGAGACTTTTGTGTTATAAATGTGTAGGAAAATTAATTATATTATTGGTTGAATACTGTAATAGTGTAGTAGCGTTGAATTAAAATAGTATTTATTTTAAATCCCTTGTCGGTGGGAGTAAAGCTTTTGGCGGGGTGAATCAATATTTTTAAGTTCAGCGTCGTCAGTTGTGTTATAAATCAATAGTCTGCTTGCAAAGATTAGAGGCACAGTTTGAGTAAAACCGGCAGTGTTATGACATCATCGGAGTGACCTGAACCAAGGACTCCCTGATATACCTAACTACCTATATAACTATGTGCGTACACTTTGTTTATAATCTTTTTAAATAGATGTTACTATTGTCAGTGTACTCTAATTACATCCGCGTAGGTATCAATTTTTTACGAATTGTTTTACCACACATACCACCTTTGATATATTTTCTCATACCATAATTACAATATTAGCTACGCTGCGGTATAATAAACATAGGTTTTAATTAGATGCTAGACTCAACGACAGGAACGGTGCTAAATTTAGTATGCTATGCTATTATATTAAAATCAGTAGTTAAGGTCGTTGCGTTACTTAAATTTGTGTTTAACAATTAAATAAAGATATTTTATGGAGGGATGTGTGCAGTTTATTTAAAACACTGCATGTTCTCAGTGAGTGTAAAGTCACCTGACTTCACGTGTTAAACTATTAAACTATACGACAACGATTATTTCACAAGACGATGCTATTTTAGTTCTGGCTTGAGTATCAACGCATGGCATACATGCCGCACTACAGTGTGCACACAGTGCAAAATACAGTAACACACTTCGTAACCGACCTTGAAATGCCGGTCGAATGTTGCAAAAGTCGTGGGGTTCGCGGTCATTGACCTCGCTGTCAGCTGGAATTTTTGCTTCCCTATTTATTGGCGTAGAGCAGGTGGTACGTTAGCCTCGTCTCGTACATCAACTACATCATATTGACGTCGTCGTGTTTTACTGTTCTCACGCTGTTACGTGATTGAGCCAGTCTGCGTATAACGTGAAACTGATTCTCGTCGCGCTGACTCAAATAAAATTGGAACTGAATTCGACGTGTATCGCACCCTTGCCAACATTTAAACCACACTGTTTCTTACGAGAGCTGTAATTGTTAGTGAAAATACGAGTTGAGAACTTTTATCGTAAATAGAAGATGAAAAACCGATGTAGATAGATTAACTATTAACATGAAACATAAGTATAACACTATGCTGTTTTTACAATAGTATAACAATGTACGAAATAGGTATTTCATAATTAGGTACGTGTTAGTGATATCAAACAAATAATTCTGATCTATTCAATATTATATGTAAAATCCTCGAAAATTAGGATTGCTGGAATCTACTCTTACTTCTTATACTTAAGTACTTACTTCTTAGTATTTTAAAACTCTTAAAACTTCTGTCATGTTTGTTTTTATCACTAAACGCAAATATTCTAATATTTACCTGTATCACCATTACATTTCACAGTTTCTGACTCGTACATATGTGACTAATAGCTATCGGTTATTATATTTTCCTTGAGAAACAATCAGTGTGAAGTTTCTATTATTCTAATGTATTTTCTTTTCAATGGACTAGGTAAGGATTGTTGCGTAACAATCTAGCGGTGACCCGACGAAATTTTTACATAACATTTTCATTTACACTAGGTAATTTTCTTTCAGTTTTGTGAGCCAAATCACCTAATTTATGGTCGCTTATTTAAAACACAAGATAAAGAATTATCAAACAAACAATGAAAAATCCTTTGACTGTACAATGGTAGCAAAACAGAATTGAAATTTGGCATAGAAAACATTAAGACAGATCAATAAATATTAGGAAATAGATCACTTGAGAAAATAAATTTGAAATCGAAAAAAATAAGAGACAGCTCATCGGTCGTTTAGGTAAGATTGGCAACAAACATCAATGAGTTAATCAAGACAATGGGATTTGCCATTAATAATTATTTATTCCCCCATTCAGTCTATTGTTTCTACTTTCTAGTTTCACACGTTTAGTACGAACGTTACGTAAACAAGCGACTGAGATAAACTGATAAGCACACACGTGTTTGACCTTGCTAAGCGTTATCATTCAGTGCAACCTGCAACACAGATACAGGAAGATATTAGCGATTTAATTAAGAGCTGCTAATATCACAACGTCGGCGCTAATATTCATATAATATAGGTACATAGAATATTTGATATATTATTTGTGTGCCAACCACCTGAGATTAACGAACCAGAGAAAATTTATGGTGGCAGCGACGATTATTTTTATAGATTGACTGTGGTCTGTGATTGAAACACTTATTAAGTAGGTATTACAACCGCTTAAGGTCGGGATAGACACTGCATCTGTCTACCTTTTGACTGTTGCTCTTACACTAGTAGGTACTTTAGGAATAAAATTGTGCATTCGATCTACTACCTCTAATAGTCAATAATATCTATTTATAGCTAGGTATAACTAAAAATCAAGTCAATCTCTTATATGTGTAACAGTTTTGTGTAACTGTATGAATTGCTATTTACAAATCCACGAAATTTTCCGATTGAATAATCACTATTGGTATGTGATAGAATACGCAAGTTTTATTTATAGCAGCAGTTATCAAAACATTATCAAAATTAAATTTTCTTTTGTAAAACCTGTTTGTTATTAAAAACTGTTCTATTATTATCGTATTGCTTTTCACAATTGATATCGAATCGATTTAAATGCTTCGCGTGCAAAAATAGTTAGGTATACTAGTACCTACCTAAAAAGTACTACTCAAAGTATTTTATTAATCTTTACTTACTTATACAGTCAGTAGAATCAGAAAATTACCACAAAATCAGACAAGTTTATGGACAATAAAACGACGACGTTCGAAACAGCTAAAAATATACATTTTATTTTAACATCTCACTTGATGAGTTGACAGAAACCTTGAGTTAAATTATTACAAGCGAAAGTTAAAAACAAAATTGTAATGAACCAAACCAGAATATTCAAAATAATCGATCTGATTTTGAATATTTTTACTAGATGCTTTGAACTGTTTATAGCGTTTGATTGGGAACAGATGGTATTTCCCGAGGAAAACTAATTTTGTCCGGTAAAAATGATATCGTAGAAATATTAATCTATCATATAAAATGCGTTTTGACGATGACATAGTTAGTTATGGTCAATGAGCGTGACAAATGTGCTAATAAAGTAAGGAGTACCACAGGGATCTATTCTTGGGCCCTTCTTAATATTTTAACAAGGCACTTAACACTATTGTTATCTAGATTTATTCACCTTTTCTTTGAAATTAGTTTGCTGTTTATAATTTAAATGGTGGCTTTTAATAAATTTTAAAATCATTAAAACATTGTTCCAAGTCAGAAAATGTACCATATCCTGTCATTTCATTTATTGTGAAGCGTAACCCAGTAGGTATGTACATACGATAAAAATTATGTTGTTACTTTTAAACACGATTATTATTTCATTCTTTAAGTCTGATTTCTGCCGTAAATAATTGTCTGACCTTGACCGCTCTGTTATCAGTCTTGCGTAAAGTCTCGTTGGAATTATGTGGTTTTGTTCCTGCTTTTGTCACTATAAAAAGCAAGTGATAAGCGCGTAAGTGTATCATTGAAGTTAATAAGTTTAATTGTAAAGTGCATAATGTCACATAACATGGTTTTAGCAGTTTTGCTCGTTAGGAATAATTTGTAGTAGGTATCAATGTAGCACGCACGAAGTATTCATGATGACAATACAAGTACCTAGGTATTACTTACAACAAGGATAATGTAATTTGTTTAAATAACGGTTTTCCTTAACGGTCAGACTTTCTTCCTTGACTTTAAATTATCCTTATATCTGTCATTCACTAAGCCATATAGTATAGATCTACTCATGCCCATTATTCAGTAAAAAACCAAATAAAACATGGATTGCAACAGAGGTTTGGAGATTATAACATCATAAGTATTATACCGTAAACTGTAGATTTTAAAGGTACAAATTGAATATGTAGTATATGGTATTTATTTCAAAATGTTGTTTCCTATACAGAATGAGTGAAGTATACCGTTGTGTATAGAGATAACAAATCGTTGTTCACTCTAACAGTTTCGTATTTGTTCAACACTGACGCGTCTACTTGCTTACCTCTTAAGACAAGGCCACAATTAACATTCAGGCTTCGCGCCCGTACCCATTCAACACCAGTAACTCACGTACCTGTATGAAGATAAACAAAATTAGTACAATATAATAGAAATTATTCCTCGGGATCTGGAAGTATTCAATTTGCTAGACTGAACAGGAGCAGTGTAGTACCTAACCTCATAGACCGATTCAACAGCCAGTAGGAAGAAAAATTCATTGGATACTTCTCTTCAATGACTCAGCCAAGAAAGCGGCTAAATGTTTTATAAACAGGTTGCTGTGTTGCAGGAAAGAAAATAGAAAAAAAAATTGCTAGTAAGTCAAAATGAAATGTTTGCAAAGAAAACTGTACTAGCGTCAAGCGATGCGTATACTGTCATGGTTTTGTTGACATTAATAAGGTTGAGTGCTTCCGGAATCGTTAGGTATCGCATATCGATAGAGAATAGAGTAATAAGTTTGATACGTCCTAGCTAGTAGGTATATTATTTAAGTTTTTACCTTTATATCCAAAGGGAATCTTTCTTTTAATTTTTTTGTGAGGTTTCATCTCAGGTTCTGAAGATGTACAGAAATATTATGCACGTCTTCCGTTAAATAAATATATATTATGTGTAGGTAGTCTGCTTGTATTCAAACGTATAACGACTGCAATCTTAGAACAGGAAATTAATGCTGTATTCACTGTATAGCTGTGAATAATGCAGATCCTGTACCTACTGTGAGCGACATAAGATGTATCTAGGTCTAAGTACATTTAGTTGGGTTAAAAATAGAGATTTAAGGCCTTGATTAGGTTCAGTTACTTTGACTGGGTGCATGTTTTACAGATGTTCTTTTAGGAGGGAATGCGAATCTTTATCGAAAGTGGTGAAATTGTAAACGTCGACGTTAGAACGAGCATTCTCGTCTTGCTCCGGGCTCAGTATTGGCAAAGTGATAAAGCCCTCGGTTACATAACAATATTGTCTCTAGTTAGTCGAGACAATGTTTATCATTCTTCAAGCCTTCCAAGGTCAGACGGCATCACAGACTTTACTATAACGTCAGTTTGCACACGAGCATTGAGTTTGCACACCATGTTGCTACCTAATCCATTTTTCCATGTATGTATAGGACATGGCAATGTCGTCAATCTAGTCTTCTACAGGTTTATTACGTATAGACGACGGTATTATCAGATAAGCTTTGTGTATCACCTACCCATCGGCATTATCACGGCATGGCGTTAAGGGTCATGCTCAAACGCCGCGCCTTTCATGCGTGATCGCTACGTGATAGATTATTAATTTGTATTATCTTTATACCGTCTAACGTGTGTTTTTATTAATCGTAGTCTCGTAGGAATATCTTAATCTGTCTGTCAGTCAGTTGCTACGGAAATGGGTAATTAGAAAATTTATTGGGAAATCCGTTAGTCATTTCTTTGACTTCATTTATAAAATTTTCTTGATATATATGTAGGTACATCTTGTTTTTATAATAACTATCGTGAGACATAATAAATTAACTAAAAATCGCGGGTTTCTCACGTGAGTACTGAGAAAAGCCTAGTCAGCTAGGCTGTATCAATAGGCTGCGCTGGAAGAACCCCTCTGTAGTTCGAAACTAGTATAGCTTTTCTAAGTATATTCACGTGAGAAACCCGCGATTTTTAGTTAAATTAGGTATATCTTTATTAGGATTTACTAAATATTGAACCTATTTTGATTTAAATCAAACATTTGTATGACTTATGCACACGGTACCCTTACCCAATATCTTTCGTTCGATATCTGTAAGAAAGTTTAGTGTTGAGACAACTTCTTTTAATCACACATGTGTTTATTGGCACGACTTTACTGTAACTACTGTGAGATGTGACTTATATTCAACCGAATCTAACTAGTATTTGTACTATAAGTGATGTTACTAAGAGCCAAGTTTCCATAATATCATAACCAGTTATTACCTAGACCTACGATAATGACGATGTTTTGCCGTTGATGTGAATAGCAACGTAAGTAGTATAAAAATTATGAAATAAGAAAAAGACATTACAACCGTTTGACGTAAAAGATAACAATTTGAGCAAATCATCTTCCGTGAGTGGGTGATGATAAGCGATGAGTAAGTCAGTGCATACGAAATTATTGATACGGTCAATAGTTGCCTGCCTAACTAGGTACTTATTGTTAATTATTTGTCGCTACGTTTTCTTATGATGAAATTCCTGTATTGTAGTCGGCAATTCGGAGCAATGACTGATGATCGATAATTAAATAGTATCAAAAGCATTTTTTTATGTATCTGATTAGGAACTTACAATGTTCGCATTTTGAAAATTAATATCTGTAGTTATTGTTCAGATTGCCGTAATATTAATATTAGCTTTGAGTTAATTGTTCTCTTTTCTCTAAGTTACATGCACAAATAATCGTTCAAGTGGTTCTTTAGATACTCTGATTTTCTTTCTGCTTCATATATAATATGTCAGATAAATCGAGTCTCGTATAATGCATCATGCATCTAACGCTGCAGACATAATTTGTACTAAATTACTTGCATACTTAAGTACATTATTTTTAATTCAGTGGTTTTCTTATCATAATAAAATAAACTATAGGACCTCTCGTTCTACCTTGAAATAAATTGTAAGAAAATGATGATAACAATTTAATATATTTATGTGTAGCGTGTTTGAATCAACAACTGTGATGGAAGGCCATGTTAATTGCTATCAAATGACGGTGTTACATAAACACTATTGTCATTTTTATTGAGACATAATGCACCTTTGTGAGCAATAGAGCGTTGGACATGTTTCACTGAAGTTAAATGAATATTTTTTTTAATAGAGTCTAAATGGGAAAGGTCTTGATTTTAAAAGATCTGTAATGGCCGTTTTCGCCAATAAACGGTCACTTAGGGTTTCTAATCACCTACCAACCCCTTATTTGTACTGTTGAGTGACACTTATAAGTTGGTTATTACAAGATTTAATGTCATCTATCTTAGCTTTACGTTTAGCGAAGGGGTTTCTTTAGATTCTAGAAAATTGGTGAAAACGTGTATAAATCTTGTAAAATTTGAGTTCACTTTATAGATATTCTACTTAAAATAGGGAGGCACTAATGGATTTCTACGTTCTCCCTAATTTTACATGTCCTCTTTTCCTTTCAGAATAATGTCTCGCAGAAGATTGTTGATTGGCGGCGCGGCGGGCGTCGCGGGCGCAGCTCTCACAGCTTGGGCGGTAGCAGCGGATGATTCACCGGCGGTACGTATCGAGCCGTGAGGAAACCCTGCATTATCTGGGGGACCTGATAACATCGCTTTTCCTTTGCCCCTTTTAATATAAACTGTAGTATGTATGTACTGCGCATAAATTCGGTGTTTTATCTTATCTCCATACACGATGAAGCTATTTTCGTATGCTTAGGTTAGGTATATTTTCGTTGTTGAAATGAGGAAGTCATTGTAGTTTGATACGTACCTATAGACGTCATACTAAGCAAAGAGTAATTAGGTTCTATAGTAGGTATTGATTTATATATGAATAGGAATGTTTGCACATAATATTTGGTCGCAATAGGCTTAAAAACGTAGCCGACAGCTTTGAACAAATTTAAAATACTCGTAGCAAAAATTCAGAATAACTTTGCTTTAAAGAAATAGTTTATTTAGCACCTTCTAATCCACAGCAATGGTACAAAGCGACGACGGTATCAGCGAAGACGGAACGCAAGAAGCGACCTCTACCGTCGCGCGAACATCAAGTCGCCTCCTTACAAGCTGGGCATACCTTCGACATCCTTATTATTGGAGGAGGTGCGACCGGTGTGGGATGTGCACTGGATGCCACTACAAGAGGTAAGTATCATGGTCAAACCAGTTAATCTCTATCTAATCAGAATACAAGCACTGTTCCGTCATTTCTTGGTAGACGTAGAAAGGTTCCAAATCAATATAGGTTACATTTAGGTGATTGGCAAAAAGAAGTAATTGAAAGTGGTGCTCTAATACATATATTGCAAAGCACAGGGCATACCGCATAACTTTAGTGTGTAGTTTGGTGTTAGACTGAGATTGAAACGATTTAAAATCCTATAATTTACCTAAGATACAGAGACTCTTTTACCAAGGCACCTAGACAGTAACTACTAACTAGCAACCCTAAGTAGTCAGTAAAAAAAGAAATAGTTTGATCGAAGACACAATTTATTTCAAATGCATAAGGATTCTACCTTGACTTGTCGCTACAAACACAACGCTAATCGTCACAGCATATCGCGGAGAACCTAACTGGTTACCGGGGCTCCGCCTAGACGTGCAGGAGAAGGAACAGGGTGGTTTTTAGTCAGTAAGAGTCTGATACTCCCTCCCGCCTCACCCAGGCGGGAGCAGACATTCGATGATAATCCCCCCTTAAAAAAAATCGTCACAGCGTTGTTATCAAAATCTTGACCGAGACATGCACTCATTGTCACCGTCCATACGTTTGTCATCTTTCATGCCACAAGCATTTACGACATCCTTAGTCCTTATCAAATTGTAGCGCTTCTAATGATAATGATCACGAACACGTTGGGTGTGTCTGATTGTATGCGCGTGAGTTGGCAATGTGGTTGTAAGATTAATGTAAAATGCTATTAGGTATTTGTAGTACTATTAAGTCGGGGGATTTCAATGCTGTAATAGATCGTTATAATCGTGGTATCTACATTTATGAGTAGAAAGAGGCAATTAATTAATTAACGCTTCATACCAGAATATGCATATTCCCATACCTGTGGTATAACTTAGTGAAAGAATAACACTTATTAAGGAAATAACTGCATTGGTTTGCGGTGCAAAGCGTAATCTGGAGCTTAAACTTCGGATAAGACAAAATGCTACTTCCATAGGCATAGGTTAGATATGCTCCTCATTGGTCTTAACAACTGATGCACTTACTTTAACGTTAGTAAACAGTAATAAAACAAACTTTAAAGTTAACGTCAAAATCATTTATTTCAATTAGACCAGAAAGGCAATTTTGAAAGTCTACAAAAAAATAAAAGTGAAGCTATTTGCTCATTCCAAGGTGTAGATTCCTATGGAGAAGGACGACAACCCCATAGGTACTCTTTTTCAATCCGGTTCACAATATAATTTTCTAGTCACATAGTTTTGTTGTTTAGTTTGTGCGAGAACAATGTAACACTAAAATCCAGTCAGAGATTGAAATAAAACAACCTTAAGGACAATAAATAAAACAAGAGTAAAAAATAGTAGGCTTAACATTACCTACATAGGTATAATAATTCACATATCATATTATAATCACTACATAGTATACAACAAAGTCGCTATCCGTCGTCTGTCTGTCTCTATGTATGTTTAGATCTTTAAAACTAAGCCACGGATTTTGATGCGGTTTTTTTAATAATACAGTGATTCTTAAGGAAGATTTGTATGTTTAATACATGCATATTGCACCCGTGCGATGCCGGGGCGGGACGCTAGTATAATATATATTATAATATCAATCATATTTTACTTGCAGGTCTTCGCACAGCGTTAGTCGAGGCTGATGACTTCGCCAGTGGAACCTCAAGTCGTAGTACGAAGCTCATCCACGGAGGAGTGCGGTACCTTCAGAAGGCTATCATGCAACTGGATTACGACCAGTACAAGATGGTGAAGGAGGCGCTGCACGAACGAGCCAACATGTTGGAAGTAGCACCACATCTGACGCGTCCATTGCCTATATTGTTGCCTGTGTATAAGTGAGTTTCGAGTTGTTAATATAAAACACTAGCTACTTCCGCGCGGTTTCACACGCTCTGCTCAGCTCTTATTGGTCGTAGCGTGATGTTTTATAGCCTATAGGTATCCTCGATAAATGCACTATCCAACACAAAAATAATTATTCAAATCAGACTTGTAGTTACAGAGATTAGCGCGTTCAAACAAACAAACCAACAAAAAAAAACAGACTCTTCCGCTTTATATAATAGTATAAGATTATTTGCTTACCATCAGGTAATGGTTCTGTTCGTTTATGAACTAAGGTATCACACCCTCAGATCTTGATACTACTCAGAGAGAAGACAAGCACCCATTTCATTACTCTAAGAATACATTTCTAATTTTATATAGGATAGTTACAAAGACAACAAACACCATAATTATAACTATAGCACATTTTCTATTGCGTCATATTATTTAAAACTAGCTGTTTCCCGCGACTTCGTCCGTCGTAAAATATGATTCCTGTTTTATCCCACGCGAGCATTTAATCGAGATAAAAATCCTATCACCTAATGCCTCAGCCCATACCCTGTTTGTATACAAACTTTCATCAAGATCGGTTCAGTAGTTTTAGCGGGAGTGACGGACACATATCTAAACAAAGAAACTTTTACATTTATAATGTTAGTGTGACTAACTTCTCAGCGTAGGACTTCGCCCTCCCAACATTAGGTTGTTTTGGAGATTAAAATATTATTCTTTAGGATAAAGAATACCTATCCTATTATAGACTCCGAAAAGTAAACTTTCCATAACATAACATCACGCCTTTTATCCCCGAAGGGGTAGACAGAGGTGCACACAGAACTAACACCCACTTTTCACTATTTATGTTATGAGTCCCATGTAATACGGGGTGAGCCTATTGCCATAAACCGGGCAAATTTCCAGACTCCGTGCTACTACTGAGATTTTTTTAAAAACCCAGTAATACTTTGCCCCACCCGGGAACCGAACCCGCTTGCACGGCAGTCGCATTTGCGACCACTCGGCCAACGAGGCAGTCAGCAGCCAAACTTTCCAATAGTGAAAAGTAATTTCAATTCTGTCCACTAACAGGGTCTTATTCAGTACAAACAATGAACCTTTCGCCTTTATAATATTAATAGATATATGTCGGAATACTGAAACGCTACTCAATTTTAAGTCGTGCTTAAGTATAGTTCTATCTCTACAAATTCTTTGTAAAATGATAGAGACGGCACGATATTTAAGTACTACTTAAAATTGAGTAACGTTTCAGTATTCCGACAATAGACTAATGAACTAAATGAACTATTGATTAGTTCAAGATCTTGGCACTGTGCTATGCATTATTATAAACTCACCTTTGACTTGTGTTTTCGTTGCTACTTTGTTATGAAGACATTTTGGCACTGATTTGATATCTGTTCATCGATGAGGAGCTAAAATACCTGCAATTATATGCGTATCGGTCGCTTTCTCATACAAAGTGTGGTGTTTATTTATCGGTAGTTATGAAGAACCCGCGGCTTCGCTCGCGTCACAAAAGCATAAAAAGTAGCTTATATGACATATACCAATACACACAGCGCCATCTATACCAATAATTTCGTTTTCCTTCGAGAATATCAAATTTTTCCGGGATAAAAAGTACCCTATTATTTAATCCAGACTTCTAACTGTACATCTGCAAAAATTCAAAGCAATCGGTTAAGTAGTTACGGCGTGAAAGCGGAACAAACAAACAAACAAACAAACAAATTCACTTCCCGATTTATAATATTAGTAAGGATTTCTTTTAATATTGATTGTTTTTATCTTAAGTCGATAAAATATTTAGCAGTACCTGGGATTGTTTTGTTCATTTTTGCAAAAATGCATAATACAATATGTATGCCTACATTCTGTCTCGTAAAGTTAAAAGTTGTACGGCCAAAGATTTCATCTAAGAATTTAATTTTGTTACAATTCGCTTGGAACATCTATTCAAACCTTCAAGAAAAGAGCGTATTCCTTTTTAAAAGGCCGGCAACGCACCTGTGACTCCTCTGGTGTTGAGGGTGTCCATGGCCGGCACTGATCGCTTACCATCAGGTGATACGTCTGCTCGTTTGCCTCCTATTCCATAAAAAAATTTCACCATATAGGTCATAGGTCTATACAACATTGTTATTAAACATTACTATGAGTTTTAAAGCAATGATAAATATCTCAAATATCTATCTCTATTTCTCAGATGGTGGCAAGTCCCCTACTATTGGTTCGGTATCAAGATGTACGACGTGGTGGCTGGCGACAGAAACGTGAAGAGTTCGTACTACTTGTCTAAAAAGAACACTCTCGAATTGTTCCCCATGTTGAAATCCGACAACCTGTGCGGTGGCATCGTGTATTATGATGGTAAGTGACTTGTTTTAGCAGTTCCCTACTAGGTATTTAAGAGTTTTTTATTACTAGATAGGGTCTAATGAAAACTCTGTACTTATATATTTTTTTTAACGAAACTGCCCCCACACTGGTATTTTCTCCTGTGTCGTGGGTGCGTTTACAAACATACAAGTTCACATACACATGACACCCAGACCCGAAACATCATTTTGTGGATCACACAAAGTGTTGTTTCACGGCAGTTGGTTGCCCAGCCACCGCACCAACCGTACAGTCTACTAATACTCAGTCTTTAAAGACGTCGAATGACGTTTTACGGCTAAACTGATTAGGCTAATAGGACTTTCCACCTCACTAACGCCAACAGGCGTGAAGAAAACCGAAAACCTTTAGTGAGAACTGAAAAGTGTAGGTATTGGTTAAACCTGGAACACCAGAGGCGTTACAAGTGCGTTACCGGCTTTTTAGGGATTAGGAGTTTGAGGATCGTTGGGGATTCAGGGATTGGGGAGATTGGGGAAGGGGAGGGTAATCACAATTTACACTATTAGAATAGACTGTTGTTTGGTTGGCTAGCCCTGCGCCCTATTACAATTAAACTTAATATGTTTGTGACAAAATGTCGAATAACTGCCTAAAGGATGTTACAATTTACATTTTTTTTATGGTATAAACCGGTAAACGAGCAGACGGATATAGTAAGCAATCGGCGTCGCCCATGGACACCTGGAACACCAAGGCGTTACAAGTGCGTTACCGGCCGATTCGGGGATTGGGACTGGGGAGGGGGAGTAATTGGGTCTCCGGTAACTTCCCTCACACGACGAAACAGAACGCAAGCGTTGTTTCACGTCGGTTTTCTGTGAGGCCGTGGTTTCACTCCCATTCGTGCCGAAGCATGGCTGTTCCACACTTAAATTCCTAAATCTGAATAATGCTCTATATTCCCCTGAGTGTATCCACCTCGTTTGACGTTATAAGTCCATATTTTATCAATATAAATTACATAAGGCTTAGAAGTCATCAACTCAAAATAGTAAATGTTTTGATAAACAATCTCGATGCTTTGTAAATAAGGAAGTTATATCTAAGTTATAAGTACTTTGTTGTTGACTTATCGCGTAGGAGATTATATCGAGATAAACTAACTAGCTACAAATCAAATGTAAATAGACTTAATGTCTTATGTATCAGTAGTGGAAATGATAAATGATGAAAGATTATGTTCTAAGCCTCCGCATCTTCAGTCACGTTTATTCCAAGTGGATCTATGTTGGTTACCATATTATCATTAAAGATATCGATATCTTCCATCTCTCTACAAATTCGGGTGATCAAATAGTATACTATTCACCTTTATTGTACAAGAAACCTATTTAAGTTCTCGTTGTTTTTAATGAACGAATAAATCTAAAACTAGTTACTAAGAAATATTTTGTTTAAACAGGACAACAGGACGACGCGCGAATGAACTTAGCGATAGCATTGACGGCGGCCCGCCATGGCGCCACCATCGCTAACCACGTCAGTTGTAGCAAGCTGTACAAGACCAATGGCAAGCTTAGTGGGGCTAGACTAAAGGTAAGTACCCAAACGATATACTATAACTGTAAGTAATGCTTTCGTCACAATGGGCCAGCTCAACCGGAGTGACACCACGACCTCACAGAAAAGCGGTAATAAACAACGTTTGCAATGTAATTCACCTTGTGAGTACGGTTACCAGAGGTTTAATTCCTACCTTCCTCATTTACAATCCCGAATCCCTAAATCCCGAAAAGGTCGGTAATGCAATTGTAACTGCACTGGTGTTGCAGGTGGCCATTGGCGGCACCGATTGCTAAGGTGATCCATCTGGTCCATTTTGTTAAAATAAATCATAGATGCTCCTACAATAACATACTATACTGGGACTCATAACATAAATAGTGAAAAGTGGGTGTTACTTCTGTGTGGCCTCTGCCTACCCCTTCGGGGATAAATGATGTTATGTTATGTATTCAAATCTCAGGACGAGCTGACGGGCAAGGAATGGGACGTGAAAGCGAAGTGTATAATCAACGCGACGGGCCCCTTCACAGACAGTATCCGCAAGATGGACGACTCCACCGTCAAGGACATCTGCTGCCCCTCGTCCGGTGTTCATATTGTATTGCCTGGATACTATAGGTAAATTATTATATGCATTTTTTTACTGACTAAGGAGAAGTTAAGAATGTTTACATTATCAAAATCTCATTATCAAATTGGGTAGTTTCCAGGGTATCAAAATTAAAAATCTAATTAGTCCGTGTCAGTTAGATAATGAAAAAATATTAATAACATATTTTTTATTTTCTCGTATTAAGTTGCAATACTTAGATAAAATGGCGCTAAGTTTAGGAGTGGGAGGTTGTTACGTCATAACGTGCTACAAAATGCGGCACGCTGTGACGTCACACGATATTTCAAATTCGTCGAAAGTATTTAATTTTGTGAAAAAAGAAGAAATACGTGTCTAAAGTTCTAAATAAATGTACCAGACGGACATTAAAATAAAATTTAGGAAACTACCCTATTATATTTGATTGTCTAATATAAACATAAGAATTAAATAAAATGTAAAAATCAAATAGGTCCTAGCACACATTAGAGTCAGACTTTTTATAATGCGATAATTAATCGTAGTGCGTATTTAGTCTTATCAACTGAATGCAGTTCATAAAACAAAATGTAGTTAAATATTTTTTATCTAAAAACGGAATACTTTATGAAGAAACCCGATCTAAAATGTAATAATAAAAAGACTTGCAGAATACTTATCCTTTTTATCCCTTTAGCCCAGAGCACATGGGTCTCCTAGACCCGGCCACATCGGACGGGCGTGTGATCTTCTTCCTCCCCTGGCTGAAGGGTACTATCGCGGGCACCACGGACCTGCCCTGCAACGTCACACACAACCCTAAACCCACTGAAGACGAGATCCTCTTCATCCTCACCGAAGTCAAGAACTATCTGAACCCTGATGTTGAAGGTTCGTTTAAAAAAAACATGACTTTACCTGCATTAATACTTATCTATACTTACTTATACTTGCGCTAAATTGGAATTTCATTGAACTCAGTAACTGATTTGGAATCTGATTCAAATGCAGTAACCTAACCTAGTTGGATTCAAGCCAGCAATAATGTACTTACCTATGTCAGCTTTATGTAGGTACAGGCTGTTTACTGCAACACATACACTTAATTGTGTCTATAATGATGGTACTCAAAGGGTTAAGTGTCCTTTATTATATGTCACACAACGCTGTTCAAGCATATGAGCCCCAGCTTGGCTTGAAACTAGTCGAGTCACCTTTTCAAACCAACATAATTAATTTGATATTGAAAATATTACGATGATTTACTAGACCTATGTTGCCTGACTGCCTCGTTGGCCGAGTGGTCGCAAGTGTGACTGCCGGACAAGGAGTCTCAGGTTTGATTCCCGGGTCGGGCAAAGTAATACTGGGTTTTTAAAAAAAATCTCAGTAGTAGCACGGAATCTGGAATTGTGCCCGGTATATGGCAATAGGCTCACCTCCTATTACATGGGACTCATAACATAAATAGTGAAAAGTGGATGTTACATTGTACAGTGGCATAATGTACACCTCTACCTACCCCTTCGGGGATAAAAGGCGTGATGTTATGTTATGTTACTAACGCATGTATATCCCCAGTCCGTCGCGGAGACGTGCTGTCGGCGTGGTCGGGCATCCGTCCGCTGGTGTCGGACCCCAACAAGCCCGACACGCAGTCGCTGGCGCGCAACCACATCGTGCACGTGTCGCCCGCCGGCCTCGTCACCATCGCCGGCGGCAAGTGGACCACCTACAGGGCCATGGCCGCGGAGACCATCGACGCGGCTATTGAGAGTAATTACTAATTATTATATTATTCTACTACCATTTACCACGTTAACTTCAAGAAGATTGATTGAGTAATTAAAAGTAAAGAGGTACTTAATAAAGTATAATCATTGTATACACGGCTACACATCGAGCTTTACATAACCAGTATAAACTGAACCTTAAATGTTCGGAAAGATGATGTGACGCGACACCAGGATAAACTGGTTTTGTATAGGTTGATGTGTGGCCGTGTGTACATTAATAATGGTGAATCTGTTTGACGGCTAAAGAAATCGCTGTCAACTTTTATCCTAAGATCGATCGGGGAGAAACGCCCTCGATATTAGTTCCTCCTGTGTACTTATTTCTGTATGCATAATATGTTGAGAACTGTAAATAAAATTGAACTTTAGAGTTATGAAATAAAATTCATTTTCTAAATTATATAAAGTAACTAATAACTTAATTTAACGAAAAATACGTGCCTGACTACGTATGAATTTCTCTTGCATAAGCTTTAATGACAATTAAAAACATTTCAGGCGCTAACCTGAAGCCTCTGTACAAGGAATGCCAGACTGATGGGTTCCTAATAGAGGGCGCGCACGGCTGGACGCCCACCATGTACATTAGATTAGTACAAGATTTCGGATTGGAGATGGAAGTAAGTTATTATTCCTTTGAATATTAAAGTTCAATGTTAATAAAGTTCTTTTATAGCAATTTGTTTGCTCATTGACCCTTAATATGTATAGCAAACAAATTAGGACTCGTTTCACCATTATTTTGTAGTTTGATTTAAGGCTATCAGTTTTATCTTGGAGTTAAAATCTTAGCCTGCTCTAATAGCGCATAAATCCAATAACATTTTTGCTATCCAATCCGGGTGCCTCATTGCGAACGCCTATTACCTATTCCTGACTCTCACTTTTATTAGTAAAGTTGTCATCGACTGCTGCCAATTTAGTATAATATGTTATTAGAATCGTCTCCAAAAGTCGTTAAGTGTAATGAGTAACTAATATATTCCAGGTAGCACAACACTTAGCCAAGTCGTACGGTGACCGTGCGTTCGCGGTCGCTAAAATGGCGGCCATGACAGGCAAGAGATGGCCTATCATCGGCAAGAAGGTTCACCCCGAGTTCCCCTACATTGATGCTGAGATTAGGTGAGTGCTTATATCAATATAGAAAAGATTTGTTGGTACATTTTCTTCTCGTTTTGAATGCTTCTTCTAAACTTAAAAATGTTGCCAAAAATTGGCATTTAACTGATCTAATAGGAAATTGCCCACGGTATTCATTATAAAACTAGCGACCTGCCAGTCTCTGCAAACGTTGTTCAAACCTTTTACATTGTCGCGGAGAACCTAACGGGTAACCGGGGCTCCGGCTCGACGTGCAGGAGAAGGAACGGGGTGGTTTTTAGTCAGTAAGAGCAGACTCTTACTGACTGGGTGAGGCGGAAGGGAGTGTTCTGACACTCCCTTCCGCCTCACCCAGGCGGGAGGAGTCATTCGATGATTTTCCCCCCTTAAAAAAAAAAAACCTTTTACATTACCACATTCTTACTGATTCACTATAACCTTTAGTTATTTATTTAACCTTTATGAAAGAGCTAAACATACATTTAGAATTCAATTTTGTTGTTTGACTGCTTCGTTGGCCGAGTGGTCGCAAGTGCTACTGCCGGGCAAGGGGTCTCGGGTTCGATTCCCGGGTCAGGCAAAGTATTACTGGGTTTTTACTTAAATCTCAGTAGTAGCACGGAGTCTGGAAATGTGCCTTGTATATGCCAATAGGCTCACCCCCTATTACATGGGACTCGTAACATAAATAGTGAAAAGTGGGTGTTACATTGTACAGTGGCATTAAGTGCCGTAATGTGCACCTCTGCCTACCCCTTCGGGGATAAAAGGCGTTATGTTATGTTATGTTATTTGGTTATTACAAAATCACCTATTTAAAGATCCATTGTAATGAATATATTGTCTTTTAAATCCTACGAAATCTGTATAACTAACAAAATATCCCTTGTAGATACGGTTGCCGCGAGTATGCTCGTACTGCAGTAGATATGATCGCGCGCCGACTGCGGCTGGCCTTCCTCAACGTGCAGGCCGCCGCCGAGGCACTGCCCACCATCGTCGACATCATGGCTGAGGAACTCAACTGGAACGAGGCTGAGAAAAAGGTATAAATTATATTATTTGGTCTATTATAGAAATATGACACGTATTCTCTCTACAAAGAGGTCTGGTTTTGTCTATTAAATAGTTTTGGTTGATATTAATTTAAGATTTTAGCTTAAGTTTGGTTGGTGGTTGGTGCGGTGGCTGGGCAACCGGCTGCCATGCAACGTGTCGCGGGTTCGATTCCCGCACGGAACAACACTTTGTGTGATCCACAAATTGTTGTTCCGGGTCTGGGTGCCATTGTGTATGTGAACTTGTATGTTTTTAAACGCATCCACGACACAGGAGAAAATCTTAGTGTGGGACAACGTTTTTTTTTAAATAAAATAAAAAAAAACTATGTAGTCTTGTTTTTATAACCTGTGCTACCGTTCTGTTAAGCATTTAAACCTTTCCACATAAGAGTATCTTCATCATGACACGTAGCGCGACGCTTAAATTAAGTACTACTGTTTGATAAGTTAATGATAAAATGGTGTCTATTCGTCACATTAAAAACCTTAAATAAAATTTCCAGAAACAAATCAAAGATGCCAGTGACTTCTTAGCCAACGAGATGGGACAGATGGTGAACCGCGCCAGTCGTGACAAGATCCCGATCAACCTCAGCAAGGACGAGATCCAGACCTACATCAAACGGTTCCAGATCATCGACAAAGACAGGAAAGGTTTCGTCTCCATCAACGACATTAGGAGGAGTCTTAAGGTAAAGAATATGATAGGTGATTCCCCAAAGAATGGATGAATTTTACACATTATTTGTAGGTTTTTTAAGCAAGTTATGTTATAGTCTCATTGTGATGTGAGATGAACTTGATATCAATCAACTGATTCGTGCTACATAATTTCAAGATCGAAAATCATACCTGTAATCAATGTAGACAAAATATTAAGAAGGCTTTATGATATTGGGTTCGATTCCCTAAGAATATCATAATATTTTTCAGCAGAACTATTCAAAGCCTTGAGTGAAATATGATCATATGAACATTGGAACCAGAAGGACTTTCCTCTATTTAAAACGTTTCCTAAACATGTAATGCCGATTCTAGAGTATGGGGCTGAAACCTAGCGACGCAGAAATAAGTGCAATATTATCCGAGATTGACGTCACATACCACGGCCAGTTGGAATTACAAGACTACCTTCAGGTAGAGAGTACTAAATAACTGGGTAGATGTCGCTGCTGTCGTCCACGTCTCTTGGGTTATAACTCTAGTATCACTTTGGAATCATGCACGTGAATTATACAAAAGTATTTTTATTCAGCTAAAATGTTATCAATAGCACACAAAAGAAAAAAGGTTTTACTTCTGAGAAACTTTCTTCTCACAGACGGACATGTTTGTATATTGTACGTGCATAATTTCACTCAAATTGTCAGTACGTTGCAATGACTCTTTGTTGTACTACTACATTAATGGACATTTATAATCAAACATTGCTGAATAATCTCATTGGTTTAAATAAATGATAGGTGCTATTTTTTGCGCTAGTGATGCGCAAATCGATTGCGCAAGTGATGCGCAAATCATTTGCGCATTGTAATATCCTAGTTCGGTTTAGAGATAAAACGGGCATAGAATATCGTCAATTTTGACTTTAGTTCTGACACAAGTATAACAAGGGTTCATACAGCAACGTCTCATCTCGTGTCGCGTCCATGCTTGTTGATGTCGGGTATGGTCCACAGAACTACGGCGAGGAGGTCACCGGCGAACAATTGCACGAAATACTGAAAGAGATCGACACTAACATGAACGGACAAGTCGAACTCGACGAGTACTTGCAGGTCACTATCGCGTTCATTCTTGTGTATAGTCCGTGTCGTATTTACTGGTCTCTATTTATTTTGACTCATAATTTCTATTCAGTAAGGACTAAAATCACTTTTTGAGTTATAAAATGCAACAATTTAGCATTACGTTGGCTTCTGGGAGTGTTAGACATAAAAATAACACCCACTTTTCGACAGATATTAACTCCCCATCCTAATAGTGGGCAAGTCTAAATTATTAAAACAAAGACATTTCTCCCTAAGCACTCTATTATACGTGGAATTGTGAGTCAAAATATGTTCATTGGGCAGTAACAATAACTCCTGTGTCGGCGGACTTACTGCCCAGTGAGTGGTCATAAAGTGCGGCCGGACTTGCACCCTTTTTTTTGTAAAAGTGATTTTTTCCGCTTTGCTCGAATGGTGTTTTTTTTTTCTGTTTTGCAAGTGTGAATAGCAGTTTTTATATTTTATTGTTTGTTTCTAGTAATTTTGTGAATGGTAGGTGAGGAATGTGTTGGATCGATTATTTACTTTTTTTCTCTAAGTATCTGTCATAGTGCATTGCAATCTACTTAGTCATATTACAAAGACTGTACCTACTTACATTGGTATAGTTTTATTAAAGTTCGTGTAACTTAAAATTAGACTTTCCCGAAAACACAATAAGATTGAAAATAATTAATCTTCATGCTAGCGACAAGTAGGTCAGAACAGTTTAGATTTGTTGGCATCATATCAAAGACATTGCGGCCAACTTTGGAACAGGCGCTCAATTTGTTTGCTGAAATATTTTGAGTTAATACCAAAAATAATCGTGATGCATTGAGGAACATAATTCAAGCTTAGGTACATTTTCTCATCATTCATTTGTTCTAGTTGCTTTAGTAAAATAATTTATGTAATTTTAAAGTGAAAAGCGAATCTAATCAATTAGGTAAGTATCTTGTACTTACCTATACTACTAGATCCCAATAGTCGGATCTATTAAGTACCTATTAGAAGTATTGTGGTTGGTCTCGATTAAAGAAATATTTTAATGGATTTACTATAATAGACATAGAGTAATGATAATTTTTTTATGGGGTTTATATCAAAATTCTCTCTTTAGTAACGAAATCTACAGATAGATTTTTGATGAACTGTGGTAGTTGAGGCTGGCCAGTTAGTCTATTTTTAAAAATATTATGCATTGTTTATGTTAGGTAGGTAGTGTTTGCGCTTAGCCTTCATTTGTGCTTGTTGTGTCCATTAACAACCTCCATGGTACAAGTTATGCTTCTTAATTTTCATTTTGCTTTACTAATTCATTTTTAATTTATAAGATAAAGGTAAGTACTTTACTAGTTTAATTTCTTAATTAATTGAAACTAATTGTCATTTGCATGTGGTTTTTATATTAATGTCTTTTATTGAATTATATTCGAAGACTTTGCTAATTGTTCTATAATACAAACGAATAATAAAATAATTTAGTGAAAACGAATTAAATAAAACAATAATAAATTCATTAATAGGTTAATTAGTTATGTTCACACATAATGTCTTCTGCCCATTCTATCTTTATTTACATATTAGAGATTATTAAAAGAAATTGCATTTTTCCATAGTTATGGCTCAAAAGTCTATCAAAATCTTTATTAAATCTCTGTTATTTGGGGACTAATGATTGAAGTTTGTCTTTTTGTATTTAATATTTTTTCAACTAATAGATCAATACTTTACAACGAATTACATAGATCATTTTATCACTTTCTAGACTTCTAATCCTACCTTATCACACACAGATGATGTCTGCTATCAAGTCTGGTCACGTGGCATACTCTCGGTTTGCGCGCATGGCTGAAATGGAAGAAGAGCACCATGAACAGGAGATGTTGAAGAAGCAGATCTCTGTCGAGAGGAGCGGCGGTGGCCTGTAGACGTCATGCATATGGTAAGCTTTAATTTAGATGAAATAAAGTTATTTTTACGTATCTTTAGACTAAGTATTGAAACGTATTATAAAAAGGTGCTTGACTTCCCGCTTGATTTTAAATAATACGAACTTTTTGGATTACTAAATTAGTCATTCCGAACTTTTTGTACGTATAACTATATTATTTTCGTGACTATAGTCTTAATTGGGTAAATTCCAGAGTATCAAAATTAAAAATCTTATTAGTCCGTCCAGTTAGATAATGAAAAATATTAGACACGTATTTTTTTATTTTCTCGTATTAAGTGGCAATACTTAGATAAAACGGCGATAAGTTTAGGAGGAGGTTGTTACGTCATATCGTGCTACAAAATGTAGCACGCTGTGACGTCACACGTAATTCAAATTAAACTGTCAAACACCAAGCGGCCACCGGTGACCGCAACCTATTGTTCTATAATTGTGTGTATAATGACGGTACTCGACGAGTTAATATGTCGTCGAAAGTATTTAATTTTTTCAGAAAAGAAAAAATACGTGCCTAAAGTTTTAAATTAATGTACCACACGGATATTAAAACAAAATTTAGGAAACTACCATATTAAAATCTTAGTTTGCTCGCAAGAATAAAAACAAAACATGCACAAACTTATTCCCTCAAAACTATGTGAAGTCGCCCTTGTAAACAATAATCTTTCCCTATGTAGCTATAAGAAGATACTGGACAGTTTTAGAAGATATTCCCATAAGTGCCTAAGTACTTACCTACATACTTACTCTTGCTACATTTGTAGTTAGTAATAGCAATAATGAAAATGATATCTTTGCTCTATTATAATAAGGTCGATATTTTATGTGTATTCTAATACGTTTCTCTCATTGCAGGTACCGAAATAGCAACAAAGTAGGCGCTAAAACAAGACAAAAAGTATTATTTCTCAAATTTAGACTACTATACCTATTTCGATTACAATAAATACTTTATTTATTAAAATTGTAACACCAATCTATCAACTTTTGTAAATTAATTATACGTCCAATCAAATATATTTATTTTAACTTTGTAGATGATGTAAGTACAGAAAGACAGTGATTTTGAAATCGTTATATCATTGTGTCAGACATAAATTGTTACGATATTTCGATTCCTCTCCTAATTTTAAGAGAAACGGATTTGATATGTGATTGTTTAAAATATAAGGCGATTATTTATTCATTATTTTGTTATGATACATGTTTTTTTTAATATTTCAATTATTATTATTATTATACAAACGGAATGCGACTTTTTTAAATGTATTTTTTATTTAAATGTTATATTGTGTGTTGAGCTCTGGCAAGGTTACGCAGAAATCAGACTAAGGCTATTCAAAATAAGGTTTAAATTTGATGAAATCAACGAAGTAGTATAAAGTCACAGAATATTTATTTTAATGTAAAGCAATTTTGTTTTCTATGAAATGCTGGAGCTTGGTCGCAAAACGCGTTACAAATGTTATTGTTATTTATGCCTGAGCCTCATTTTCGCAAACAATATTTGCAGGTCAAACCTACAAATACGGAATCTCCGAGGTGTAGGCCAGACATTAGATATTACACTACACTTTTAATGCATAACACTGTTCTTTGACGAACGATAAGTACAATTTACAATGTATTTTAAAGTTCTTGATGTGTTTATTGTGCAAATAAATTGATTTTAAATCACAAGTTTTTGGTTTCCATTTTACGATAACCCCTTATACCCGTATCCTAAAAAACCACTGAAACCAAGTGTGTTTACATACTATGAAGCGAAGTGACAGTGGTTATAAATGTTGATAATAGTAAAAATTAAAAAAAAAATATTAAGCCTTCTGTTCTATACACATTTTTTAGAAATAGAAATATAAATTATTTAAAAACTATGATCAAATGCTTACCTCCTATTAAGTTGTAACAAAAATAAAAAAATAATAATTTCCGCATCGTAAACGCCCTTCAAAAAATTACTATCTACCCTCTATTAAATTCGTAATGTTTTCAAAACAAACCCGAGTCATAGACAAATTGCCGCCAATTGAATGAATGACAATCAAAATCATTCACTGATTTGGTTATCGTTCCCTTAGACGTTTTCAATCAACACAATCATCGTGAACTTATTTATCGTTGACATGAATATCCAACGACGACGTCACGCTGTGATATCGATCCGAAAATCAATATCGAGAGTATTTTTATTACATCCTCGAACATTAAAACTTTTCTACAGCAGTAAATAAAGTTCAATTTCCACTGTGTTTTATGACTTTTGGGACGATATTCTTTATTCAAGATAATACGCGCTAAAAGTATTATAGGTTATCCAAGAAATAGATAGTTGGAAATTTGGCGGGAAAAAGTTATACGGCCTCGGGCGCGGCGTAGGGCGGCGGTTACGCCCCCGCGGCCGATGTCGCGGGCGGGCGGTGGGTGGGCGCGTCTCTTCCGTGTTCTTATGAATTTTTAACTTACGGACCAAGGGAAACATAACCAGGGGTCCCTTTTGGCTTGCAATCGACTAGGTACGGTTAATTTGAGAGGGATTTGACGAAATATGCTTTCATAAGTGAACGAAATTTCCAACGGAGTAATTTTCTGAGAATTGTAATTAAGTATCAGTTTCGATGTTTATGGATGCGTTTTGTTTAAAGTTGTAAATTTTATTTGACGCACTTACGTGTTTAGCATTTGAACTTGATTTTCGTTTGTGATGAAATGAATTGGCCAATAGTGCTTTATTCACATTAACTAAAATATCAAGTTTATTTGTGACATGCTGGAATAAAGTTGAGACATTTCTAAAACTAGAGGATAACTGGGTTTCAATTTGCTAAAATTATATAAAGTTAAAAAAGATTTATTGTTGACATAGACTAATGGATCGCTGTTAGCTATGCCTTTTTAATAACAAGACGTAGTTTACCATAATATAACAAATATGAAGACGACATTAATGTAAAAAGAAAAAAAGGCAACCACTCGAGTGTATTTAATATAAATGTTTATTAAAACCTCATAAATAAATCCAATATCTTTGAAATTGTCAATTTACTATTAATTCAATCATTAAAAATATTACACCACCAATTTTACAGAAATCAAAGCAAATACTCATTGCCGTTCCAAACACACGCACTGTGATTAATGGGTCCGTACATTGAACCAGCGTCGAGTGGGTGGGGAGAGACTGTCGCCCACACGCGTTTTTGTGCTTGCTCTGCTAAAATTTTTGGAAGCTATACTTTGAAGAAATCACTCAAGTATATGATGTGATGTTGATGTGCTAATTACTGAGATGCAGTATACCTTATGAGAGCTAGGGCGTGTCTGGCTACGGGGCGGGTGGCGCGGGCGGTCCGGTCCGCCCACCGTCACTTCCGCTTCCGTGTGCCCATGAACCCTATAATTCTTTTACTGGAAGCAAGAGACCTCAAGGTATATAAGATCCTTATAAACATTGAACACTTATTTTAGAGACAAGCGACTGCAGCATTCTTACACAACAGCGGCTAACTGTCGTGTCCTACTTCGATACTCGTTTCTACTCGAAGATTTAAAAGTCAGTGGTTATTCTGATTACGGTTCGTAATCACCAGTATTGTTGCACCTTACTGTGCAACTGTCATTCACCTACGTGCAAGTTAGGTAATCTAAAATTCTATCTATTTGTTTGAAAAACTGAGGTGTGTTGCGTAAGTCACAAATGTAACGTTCGGTTAAATATTCAAATAGCTCAGTACGCTGTTGAATGGAAATGCAAAGTGTTATTGTACTTACGTATTCATTGGTATTTGCTCGTGTGTATGTGATCAGTCATAGATACGGAAGTTTAAGCAAGAATGTTGAACTCAGAGAGGGATAAACGATTCTGATAAGTTATTGGTATTCTGATATTTAAGTAGTGACTCTGAATTTAAAAGTGAGAAAAATAGTAAAGTTTCGTCGGATATTTCGTTGGAGTTTATGTTTATTCATTCTTCGAAATGTAGTGTTAGAGAGAGCTCAAGATTATAGAATCTATCGACCGTCAGTCAACAGAAAGATCTCGTTTATTTGTTTTATTTCACTAGTAATTGAAGCACCTGTGGCTTAGTAGGTGGGAAGTGCGACTATTTTGCAAACAGGTGTTATCATAACAGTTTTATTCATAGATAGGAAGTAAATATGCATTACCTAACGTAAGATAACTACGGCACCTGTTGCTGAGTAGAAGTATTTCTTTGTTAACTGTCAGTTTGCAGAGAGATAGGGAATCACTTTTATACTTTCGAAATCATCTGGCAGGAATTCTACAAAATCGGCATTTTACTGCTACATGATTGGGTACATTTTTGGTTGGCAAGTGCTCCGGTAGATTTTCAAAAATGTTATTCCGTACTATCTGTATCTACAGTAAGGTGAACAATTTAAAGCAGCCGCAGATAAAGAACTGCAAGTTATTTACTTCATGTCATGTTATATGCTTTTCCTATAGACATGGGCGTAGTCGGGATTTGGGAGGAGAGGGGAGGAGCAAAATATATAATCAGGCTAAATACATACAATTTTAAATGTAATACCTTGAAGCTATGTTACACGGTATTTGAGGACGTTATAATACACAAGAATAGGACCATTGTTAACGTAAGGGATGATTTACATTCTTGGTTGTTCGGACATAATGTCATTACATGGCCATATCCTGACGTACTTTTTTTAATGTTACCTATGCCTGTTTATTGAATGTGGTCTTCTTCGTAACGATTAACAATCAAATGTTTTGATAAGATTGTTGGAGTAACGGTCAATACTGTGTATAATAAATCTACATTCTGGTTCAAAAACAATTGCATGTCCTAACAGTACCCCTTCGTTCGATAAGTACTAAATTAAATTCACATCTGACCACTCCACGACATGGAATAATAATAGTAGCCTATAAAAGCAGTGCAGTGTGGAATCAAAGGGTCCTCCGTAGCAACGCCTGAGCCCCCATCTAGCTTCCCCTCGATAATGGACCAGATTTCTAACGCAATAATTCCCGAATAAATTGCTTCCGCTGGTCTGTTATCTTTCTGGTATGAGGAAATAAAATATGGACCTTTTAAGATGTTTATTGTCGAATAGAAGATGGTGATTTGAATGATTTATTCATACTTAGTGGTATTACGTGTATAGGAAAAAAAATCTTGTGTATAGATTTGTTCGAGTTTCTCATATGATTGAGTTGTACAGGTTCCAAACCAACTGTGTCTGAGGCTATTAATCTTGATTATATTTCTGTTGATGATATTTTGGAAGATACTTTTGCTTAGTATTTCTGTGAATATTTCCTTTTCTTAATTGGGTCAATCGTGCTACTTTTCCTAAGTACTTAGTTAAGTAAGTATATGCATTACCTATCGTTAATTTATTACACCATTAAGTAATTTAGTGATTTTAATTAATCTAGTTGCACCTAGAACAACTTTATTTCGATTATTCAGTTTTTCATTGTGATGATTTTGAGTTATTTTGGAATGTAAAATTATAAATTAGTTGACTACCTACTTAGTAGTACACTTGCCGAACCGAACAATACCCCGAAAACAATGAACACCGATGATTTCATCAACACAATTCATCGACTAATTAAAGTCGTTGTACGCAAACAGCATCACGTCACTCCGCTACCGCATGCCGCGCCACGCCGACAAGGTACACCCATAATAGATTTTAATACATTTACTAACGGCGTAAATACAAAACCACGATAAAGGCATTTTGATCCTTATGGCTTCGTTTTATGGTTTAATATACAACGAATCTTGAAAAGAAAACTGCGTACTTGCGTATGCGTGTTTGACATCTATTTGTGTAGAAGTTTAAGCTTTATGTTATTTAATTTTAGGTCCGAAATTGGCCGCTAAGTATATGAAATAATTAAGTCGAAGACACACGCTCTCTCGGGGCGTTTGCTCATTCGTGCATAATGGACGCGAGCAAAACGACGCGACTGACGACGCTTGACAAAACGTGGCCTGACTTTCACTCTCACTGCAAACCAGTCTAAACCTATAAATAATGGGGTCGCTATATCCGCAGGCGTAGAAATTTGGGAATATAGTCATTAGTCATCTTCTTTGTACCAGCTTAGGTAGAATGTATGATGATAGCACAGAATGATTTCGTAGATCCATTTCTTTTTACATATGACACAGTTATCTTATTATTTTATCGTGTTTGAAAAGATAAGGAGGAGTATTTATTAATGAATGCAAAATAGATTTTACGTACGACAACTGTTACAAATTACAAAAAAGGTCATTTTGATTAGTCTTGTTAAATTATTATTGTAATTTCAGCTCACTGGGCCATTATCAAGTTAGTTCATACTTGCACATACTATCGTAATAAAAACCTCCAATAACCATACAATGGGTGAACTCGATCCAACACTGATAAGAGTTTCTCAGACACGAGTGTGTTGTAATCTACTATACAACAGGGAGTCAAATGAACAAAGAATCGTAAGTGCAACGGCGTATGCTTATCGTTTGTTTACAGGCCACGTCTTGTTAGGCGATGCGGCTGGCGCGCCGACCGGCACGACATGTGTGCATTTTTTGCCCGCCCAAGGAGGCCGCGGGCGCGAGGTTATACACCCATTATTACGTCCTTCCTACTTTCAATTATTATTATCGGGCGGCGGCGCCGCACCCGCGACG